GTTGCTGTTGTATCATGGATTTCTTCTCCGCCGCCTCTTTTTGACGATCCAGCGCCATCTTCAGACGCTTCTGAACTGCCGACACCTGAAAGATATTCACGCTTAGCTTTGAATCCGATGCTATGAGGATTTAATTTCTCTCAGGAACTCCGAATACTTCTCTGTCCCAAGCTTATGACAAGATGAAAAAAAATCTCTCTCTCCATGTACCCTTTCATTGCAGAAGAGTCTCCAGTCATGTCCTTTTTTTCAAGACTGTTATTTCCATTATCCGTTTTCGAAGGTTTCCCCACTCCAAACCAAGAATAGCCAATTACTTACTTTGTACCTCAGCACGATGAGTTAGATCAGATTTGTCAACAAGTCTAGCCATTTTATTTCACTTCATTAACTTTCAAAAGTTTCAAAGTGGATATGTCATTCGAGAATCCCCCTTTTTAACCCATAAAACCGGGCTTGATATTTTCATCTTTTTTGGGTCCATCACTACAAAATCGTTTACGTCGACAAATGCCTGAACCAGCTGACACGTGATTCTAGTGCCAACAACATTACCAGTCACGTTTACGTCACGTGCAATTTACCTCCTCCGTTTTTCTCTTAAGGACAGCCTGTTGCTTCTGATGAATGTTCTCCAGCTTCTTGTATTCAAACTGCCTTTTGCGACCCTATGAAAGTTGTGAAAATCGCGTTAATTTTAAAGTACTGTGATCTCTAGTTAATTCTGCCACGCCCATTTACCCCCCCCCCCCAGCGTTTTTAGCCATATTATCATCATTATGACTTTAACCTTTTAACTCCCACATCAGATTTGTCATTCTCCTTACTGTCAACCACACAATTCTTACAGTGTTAGTTTAGAGAATTTAGTATTGGATCAACAAATTATTCCTAAATTGAAATTTTTCTTTATTCTCATCACTTATCTGGTTGATATTGTATGGATATTGAAAGGAGAAATTCTGTCTTGGTCACTCATGGGAGTTAAAGGGTAAATAATGACAACGACGATAGTTTCGATGATGATAATTACTCCTATTATTATTGAAGTTCAAAATGTCACCCAAAACTTTACTTCAACAAAACTCAAATAAAAAAGTATCCATAAACGAAAAAAAAAACGAATCGTTTCCATTATAGGTGCCACTTCTACCGGCCTAAACAACCAATTGACAAAACCACTACAACAAAACAATTCCATTCCACCGCTGACCTGTTGCTTTAACTGATTGATTTCCTTGTCTTTTTGAGCCTTCAGTGCTCGGAAGCGCTCAGATTCTTCTTTTATCTGACGCATCAGCTTGACACGGATCGACTTCATACCCTGAATAGACAGAACATGATAATTACACAACATATTTTTTTTTGTAGTGAAATCATGGAGTTAGAGCATATCAGTATTCACATTACCCATAAATAAAAATTATAAAGCAGCCAAACCAGAAAAAAATTAATTCGGGGATAAATGATCCCTATAAGTTGAACCTGATTAAAAAAAAGAGCAAACAAAATCGCGAACAGAATAGTTTTTTACTTAGTGGAAAATTCTACCCTTACGGCGCCACGTATCACTCGTGCATCTTGAGAACTTGAGCAAAATATTTTTCAGGATAGTCAGTTCCAATCCATGGCAATGTCCTTCATTCCCAAGCAGCGCAGCTCTTCATCGGTTTTTACGTACCTCTTCGTCGCTTGGCACTTAGGAAATCGGAATAGCAGGATTGTCACTAAGCACTGGTTGCCGGTGAAATTCGCGGGATAAAAAAGCGGTGATCGCCGGCTGGAATTTTCGCAGGCAATCACTTGGTAAAGCACAACAGGCACTTCTGAGGTCACAATAATTTCACCTGCCAGCCTTAATTCTTAATTACAACCCTGCGATGGGCATAAGCAGGATGGGACTTCTGACTCATAAGCTGTCCGGACAAATCCTATGGTTTGAACTATGAAGTTCCTTCCTGTAATAACGGAGAAAAATCAAGGCAATTCGTTTGATCACCTCTTACCTGAATCTCAGAATTTAGTTTCTTTATAGTGCTGTCACTTTGTTCCTTCATTTTCAAGAGTTTATGTTGTTCAACCTGATAACAAATAATGATAAATAAACAACACTTTTCCTTGTTCTTTGAACATTCTAGGCCACCAAAATATACGAGCTATTATTGCCTCGGTAAACTGGAGGTATCAATCTTTTGTTTTAAGTGGAATGAAATGATCAAGAACTCAAACGTCTGCGGTTGTTACATGCACGCATCGTTTATTTATCATCTCACACGTGATGATATTTGCAAATGCAATTGAAAAAAGTAATAATTTTTAAGTTTTTTAAGTTTTAATAACAGGAAGGTACCAAAAGAATCAGTACCAACAAACGAAATCAATAATTGAGAACTGAACTAACCTGCTTCTTCTTCAGATCTGAAATTTTGGCCTCCAGTTCTTTGATTCTATTTCTGTTCCTTTCATTCATTTTGCTGGAAAGGACAAAGATGAATGTTACACTAAATAATGCATCTGTAAGATCGGGGTGAGTGAGTGAGATAAGGAGGGTCGACCGTCTCTAAAACCAGGCAAGATCACACTTACCTGTCGGATGCCTCAGACTTTTTGTTGGTTAAGGCGACGTTAAGACTCGCCTTTTCCTTCTCCAACCTCGCAATTTCACCCTCCAGTTCGCGAACAGTGTCCTGCACAAAATGAAGAGAACCATAAATTGAAAGAGTGTTGGGCCGAGGTTTGTCGCGATTTTTTAAGAGTCATGTCGAGTTAGAGACAAATATTTCACCATGTAAGTAAAATTTACAGGGAGAAAATGCACTGAGGGAATAAACAAATGCAGCAAAAACGAGCGAATAAAGAAGAATCAGAACCTCAAAGAATGAAGAATCAATCAATCAACAAACGGCATAAACTGGAAAAACATTATCGTGTCGTTAACTCCCACTGACCTCATACTGTTTTCTCATATTGGACAACCGTGCGTCGTTCGACACCATTTTATTGGCTAACTCTTCCTTAAGAGCCAGCGCTTTATTCAATTCCTGGAGTTGCCTTCCAAGCTCTGCTCGCCTCAAAGCGTGCTGGGAAACAAATGACGCGTCCGAAGGGGAGCTTGAGTCAGAGCTTCCGTCACACTCATCCGGGTCTTCCGTGTCACTGGGGGACTGAAAATAAGAAAAGCGAGGCAGATCGTGATCATTGACTACAAAAATTAGCATCACTAGTCAATGGTCGTTTGGCAAAACTGTAAAGAAATACTTCTCAAGCAATTTTACTTTTTTGTGATCATCAACTAACCAGGACTAAAATGTAACTTTTCATAATTTAATTCATCAAAAAGTCATTAAATTACAACTTACATGTATCAGGTGAAGAGAGTCATCTTGATAATTCACCGAACTCTCTCCATTAATTTACAAGGGAATCAACAGCTAGATAGAGATTTACGGATCAGATATGGGTAGGTACTGCCATGAGAAAAACGGTAGCATTTACAAGTACCACTCTTGGTCGTTGTTAAAGCAATTTTAGTCTTACGTACACATGAAATTTGGGAGAATTTTCCCACACAAACCTGCTCTTCAGCCTTAACTACATCTTCCAACTTTTTCGTTGAGCTAATACTCTCCTGAAAGCAGAAACACACAAAAGTAAATGTTAAAAATGAAATAAAAAGGACTTAATTAATGTATAGTAATGTCTATGGCATCCCCACGTTATTTATCGATTCATAAACGAAAAAAAAATGGTTGTTAAAAATCCAAACTAAAGGGGGCAAACAAGTCGGCGACTAAGCAGTCGAGTGGGAGCCTGGACAGCAAAGAAACAAATGACAGGATGATGTCAACCTTTGACCTCCTTTGTTGAACTAAAGCAACTAAGGTATTCATTTCCGTGAGACCGTGACACCTGGTGTTCTTAATCCGCTGTTTCTTTGTTAGCTGGAAATAAATTAAAAAATACAAATATATTCGTGGTTTTGTGAAGATACTGACCTCGAGTTCATGCAGCTTTGTTTGAAGTTCCTCGGCTAATGTCATATCAGCCTGGCTATCGTCCGTCAACTCAGTTACATTTGCAGTGATTTTAGAGCTGAAAAACGAAAAAAAATACCATCACGTTGTAGCTAATGCTTTGAAAGAAAAACAAAGTGGAAAATGAGAATTTGAAAAAAATATATCTAATTGCTACATTCTGAACAGTTTATTTTAAAAGTAACGTCAATGTCAGTTTGTAAGCAACTGCGAACCTACCCCTCCCCTAACCCAACTTAACTCTAACTTGTTATTAGTTGACTGTTGTTGTGGGGAGGGGGGGAGGGGGGGAAGGGGGCTAGGTTCACAGTTGCGCAGAGACTGACTTTGATCCGTCAAATCATACAACAGCTTTTCTACCTAAAATGTCCTTTCAGCTCATTGAATTTTCGCAGCATCTTATCGCGAGCTAACTCAGCCTAAAAGTATAAACGAAAACATGATATCAAAATACACGCACGCAAGGTAAACGGTAAATGTTTATATTTTGCTAACAATTAAAATAAGTGAAGTTCATAAAAATCAAAAATTTCCTTCAAGCACTGACAGTAATTTTTTCACTTTCTTACCACCAACACCTTCTCGTACATCTGAGTGTTCTGATCAACAGAGGCGTGTAGCTCGGAGCTCAGCTTTTCATTTTCAGACTAAAAGAAATAAGCGAGGGAAATGAATCGCTAAAAAATATCAAGCTTTTTCTGGAATACGGTTTTATAAGGTCATATTTATTTCAGCTATTGGCAAACGGTGTATTTAAGTAAGTCACCCAAGTAAACCGGCCTGGATGGTCGAAGAAAAAGCTGCGGAAAAATTGTGCAAACTTAATATCAAGAAACTATGGCCTTTCTTCTAAAAACTCATTATTCGAACAGCGTGGTCACGGTCATATTGCAAGTAAAGCACATCATAGACAAGCTTCGATCTTGAGAGGAAAAGCAAGAAAACGGGGTTACATCAACGTGCAAACATTTATAGAATGAAGATTCAAGGAGACTCACCTCGAGTTCTGTAATCCTGTCCGTCATTTCTTGGATGTTGATAGCATTAGGGTTCTCGTCACTAAGAATTCCGACAAAACCGTAAAATAAGCTCAGTCGAGGGAGGATTATCACTCTGTCGGGGGGCTAACGCTCGGAACGTTTGCTTTGAAACTCTTTACGGTGGCTAATTTACATTATCAACTCAGTTGATATTACTAAATTACCTTCTTATACTCTCCCACCGACGCTGCACCACAGTTTCTTTCGAAACTTACTCCTTTTATTCAAGGGAGGATTAAGCTGGTAAGAGATTTTAATCCCCCAAAGAGGCCTACATCGTGTGGAAATCCCTCCCTAGTTAAAGTCAAATTCAAGGTTTCTGCATCTCACTTGTTGTGTGAACGCCCTGGTGACGGTAGTTCGTTCCCAGTCGTCCAAAATTCGAAGCGGATTCGAGCGGAAGGGAGAAGTATGATAACTCATCTCCTTCTCCCCCAGCATAGCTTTGATGACATTTTTAAGCAAACAGAGAAAGATAAAGAACAGAAGCCGCAAGGAATGCACTTGTGAGACAAATTTACGTCACAGGATTGGTTATACCATAGATTACTTTGGAACCTCCGAAACAACCACCCTTTTTTCAAAATTAATTCACTATGAGCTATACCTCGCTCCTCCTGCATTAACTCCTGTAATGGTTTGTCCCTGAAGAAGTTGCACTTGAAGAAGCTGAACCTACCGTAAGCAACATGATATTCAGTTTACAATTAAGATATAATTTGAGTCCAATTTTAACAGAAATGTCCAAAACGTAACAACAGTATTTCCTTCGGCATCTTTGGCACGTTCACGTTTAGATGAACTGTATGAGCGAGCAAAAAGCGGATGCAGGTGGACATATCCAAGACGTTTTGTTAAACGTGTAATACATCAACTCCCAAGAAAATTTACAAGGTGTATCCAAATGAAAGGGTGAATGAGCTAAGAAACACCAAGAAATAAACAAACAACAACTTGTGATAAATAAAAAAATAAGAAAATAACTTGTGATACTAAATTATTCTTATATATATATATATATATATATATCTTCACGCCAGATTCATTAAAGGATCAGGAGGAAATTCATTTAAATGATAAAAAATTTAAAAGTTTGTGTTCTTTTTAACGTCTTAGTTACCTGTTGGCGAAGTCGCGCCAGTTCGGCCGCGGCTGGATCAAGATTAACAATTGGTTTGTTTTTTATCTGTCTCGCTCGATCCGCGTAACGAAGTGTGTTAAGGGTTTCCTCGAAATTACTGTCTGCAGGACTGACACAAGCGATCATCAAGGTATTACTGTTTCCTCCGAGAGAGTCTGCAAAAAAGAAAAAAAAAGCACTTGAGAGTCTATTCCCTCCAAAGCCGTTATCATTATTAGGCTCTCCTAGGAAGCGCCAAAAGAGTGAACGAGAACAAGAGTGTAACACTGAGGCACAACCCGTTGTGTTCGCAATTCGTTTCATCCATCGGAACTTTTGTATCGCCATCGCCCTGATAGGCTACATGTACCTGAGATACATATACAATTGACGTGTCTTCAAACATTTTATGTGTTTCAATAACCGGAAAAGGGCTCAATACAAAACAAAGATGGTTTTGCGCCATACAGTGACACAGTATCGAGTGCATTTTTTTACCTTGAAGAAGACGGGTCAACTTGGAGTCTCGGTAAGGAACGTGTGCGTTAGATTTCCTCAGCTCATCACTAAGCGCACTGATAACGTTACCTAGTGCCAGTAACCCTTTGTTGATGTTAATACCTGCGGAACGATATTTTGGAATAGAAGGTAAAGAATGAGGAGTATATCCAGGAATTATTGATAAGGGATTGGAACGTGGACTCAGACGAAACATTTTTTTCGTTGCCACAAATCACTACTTTAAACAGGATAAAAAGACCTCCCCCCAAAAAAAATTAGTCATCAGCGAGGTAATTTGCGATCTTGTCGTTGCAAAATAAAGAAGTAAAAAATGGAAAGTCTGGAAGCAAATCACTACTGACACACTCAACTTAAGGCTTCACTAAGTGCAAATGACTTTAGAAAAATGAGAAAATACAATAAAATCATATTTACTCTGCAGTCACGTTCGTACTACTAATTCATAAAAAAAACCACTTCATTTTAAAACAATGTTAGGTTTTACCTTCCTTGAGGCGTTCCCCTTGAGCATGCGTCTTCTTTACTCTTTCAGAACCAGCAAGATCCACCAGATGAAACTTAGCTTTTTTGAGTTCACTCCTGGAATCAATGTTGTAGAAAATAACTATCAAATCAAACATTTAATAAAGAGAAATCTGAAGAATAGATTACCAATGGCACCTCTCTCCAACCTTCGAAAATTCTGTTGGGGAAAGCCCTTTTCTATGCATCTTCTTAGTTACAGATTTTGTGCACCACTCAATTTATTCTTCTTAACTTGTTCAACAAGAGGGAATGGCCATAGTGTAAATGGGAGCTTTACTCTATAATGAGAGTAATAATACTCTATAATTTCGATAACATTATTTTCAGCTATAAACCTTTAACCTACATGCATCCCAAGTGAAAACATGTGAAATCTTCAGTAAATATATGAAAATCATATATATGTGCACTGCGGTTGAAGAAAAAAATACAGAAGCAATCCTCACTGTTATGAACACTGCTGAACTAGACTAGTAGTTGAAATAAGGCCTGAAAAATCTTTGTTTTTTAGATTTCATTGCAAAAAAGAGATCCTCAAAAATACTTTAAAGACTTCATTTGAGCTTCTATAGGATAAAATATCTTTGAGGCTATATGGGAATACTTATATTTGATCCAACCAGGCAAAATTTTTGGGCATGCCAAAATATATCTTTTGTGGAAAACAAAAATTCTCTTTTTTTTGACAATGACTAGTCTGATTTCAGTTAAGATCCTCAAAAATCCTTAAGATCATTTACCCTTGCAGCTCCTTCTGCTCTAAAGTTATTGTAAATATGGCATGAGAGCGGCTTGATCTGCTGTTCATGGCAGTGGCTCCAGTTGCCCTTGATGCAGATCCCTGCTCTAAGCATCTCACCATATCAGCCCCACATGTTACCACCACTTCCTGTAAACCAGCAATCTATGAAAAAAAAAATCTCTAGGTCACAAGAAAGCTTCTACACTTTGGGGTTTAAGATTTATGTATACAACAAAATTAAGACACAACTTTCATCACCACGTAAACTTGTACTTACAGTACTAAAATCCATTTTTATCCAACTGGCACAAACATCATAAAAAATCTTAACAGACTGAGTGACACGGCCATGGGAAACTTGCATACAGCTGTCTAAATGAAGCTCATTTGTGTAAGTTTAACCCTTTACACCCTAACATCAGAATGCATATTCTTCATACAGTTCTCCATAGATTTCCTCAGCTGCTGATGAGGAGAATTTGTTCAACAATCAAGAGCTTCTTAAGTTGGTGGTCATTTCCTTTATTCTCATGACCTCAGTGTTTGTTTAAGGGATGATACTGATTGGGGTAAATAGTTACTAATCATTTTTATGGGTTAAAAGGTTAAGAAAAAGTGTGCAGCTGCATAATGTGTTAGGATAACATTAAAAGTAACGTCAGCTAAACAATAAAGGTTCTTAAAGATAGGATCTTGTAAACAGGAAACATTAATTTACAAAAAAACCATATGACAAAGATTGATCTACCTCTAATTTTTAAGGATTCTTATTTGCAAGAGCTGAGGAGCTCTGGAACATGCAGATCTTAAAGGTGACATATTTCCTCAGTGTTAAACATAAAGTAAGATGCTACGTAGATACATTATACTCTTAGCAGTACTGTTACAGTAATAGATAAATCAACTAACTGTTGTTAGAGGGAGTAACCTTTTATCAAACAAGGCATTTGCAATCTTACATTGTAACTTTTGTTTGCTCCTCAAAAGGAGACCTTTCCAGTGAGCAAGTTTATTATTGTGCTGGGTGTAAGTGCCTTCCTAAGTCTCCCAGTTCTGCTTTAACACTTTAACACTAGCAATCACATTCACCTTGATTCCACCATCATGTGTTTCTCTTATGGCAATCTTACATTCTTCAGAAGAACAAGGATTCAAAAGGTCATGTATTTCTTCATTGTGAATCTAGAAAATATAGAATCAAAATTTGTTCCCACAAAAGAATATGAGCCAGGACAAATAAAAGAAAAAATTGTCTTCAAAGAGCAGTTAACATGAGCATTTATTCACGCAATTTTTTTTCAAACCTTTAAAAGGATTGTTATCAAATGAGAGGAAGGGATATAACGAAATATAATCAAGTTTGCTACTGATCAAAATAATTAATTCCACGTACATTTACGATCAAAACATCACATTAACGATCACTCACATACAACACATTTCCATCTGTACCTCTAAAAATGATGCTTTCAGCAAAAAGTCAGTTTTTTCCTTTCTTTCATTGATCCAGTGAAATACAGTCTCGATCAGCCTTGGAATCACACCTCTCTCATCTGAGGTCTCGTTACACGTTGTAAATGCTGTTCCCATGGAATATGTCTTTCCCGACCCTGTTTGTCCATATGCGAGAACTGTGGCGTTATATCCATTAAAAAAGCCTTCGAGCAACGGAATTATTGTTTCTCTGTACAGATCCTCTTGTATGCTTGTAGTATCGAACACATAGTCGTAAGTGAAGGCTTTGTCATTGCCCATGACAACTTGTGTATTCTCTGGTATACATCTGATACATTGCTTGCAACCTTCACCGACTTCTTTCGGAACCAGCGGTCTTATTCTCAAAGCAACACGCACAGGAATAACTTTCTCCTTTTCTTCGGGCATAGTCAATCAACGGATTTGCTCAGGTCAAGGAAACACGGAGTTATTCGAACATGGAATACATAAATTATCTGTTATGATCGCTTGAAATAACCGCCAACATTCCATTGCTACCCATAATTCAATGGGAAAAGCTTAACTCAAAGCAAACCAAACCAGCGGTTTTCAACATTAGACTACGGCCCAGGGTTCGGCAAAAACAACTTCCAATAATCCTGAAACATCACGAAGCACAGAGAAGTAGCGTACAGTGTAACTCCGTTAATTTTTGTCACAGCTACAAGGTATATTTTTGTATATTGCATAATATTTAATCCGTAACTTCAGATTTTAGATTAAATGCCATACACGTACCGTACAGATCATGTTGAATCGATTTTTCAAACTGAGTTATACGTCAGATCAGGCTTACTTCACTTTGAAGGTAACCTGAAGTACGCTTCAATTTACTCGAGAATAATCAAATTAAACTTGCTTGATATCAAATAGTTATCTCTTAAATGTAAATAACTACAGCTAGTGGATCCTTCGATGTCGTCCCCGCTCTAAATTCACTTGTCTAGTGTTGTTTAAGACTGATTCAATACATTGCGAGTAGCCTCACATCATTCACTACAAGTTTAGCTTTAAAAGTATGGACACGAACACGCCTGTTCAAATTATTACACCAAGAAAGTCGTTGAAATTGATTAGATCTTTAATTTTACTGACCTTGCAATTCCTGCTGATGCACTTAAATTTCTCTTTTCTATTCACAGATTTCTTACAAAACTTATGGCTGTCTCCAATTAGTTGAAGGAGGTAGCTTCCGGCCTCTGAATCCAGTTCTTCTTTCCTTCACAATAACACCTGAATTACCGTTCAATGGCTTCTTCAAAAACCCACCCTCCCATGCCTGCAAAGAAGCCTGGGCCACCTCCTATACCATCAAGGTTAGATCTTGGTGAGGCACCTGTGGATTCTGTCAGCCCCAATAAAGGGCCCGGAAAAGATGACTTATCAACCAAAGGATCCCCAAAAATTAAGTGAGAAAAAAGCACAACAATTATAATTATTATAATCACTAAGTACTATTCTTACTATTATTATTATTATAAGTTTTTTACTTTTGTTATTATTGTTTATTATATTTCTGTTCTTAAATCCCCAGTAACCAATTGGTACTTCCTGTTGTGTTGTCTGTGTCTCAGTGATGATATTGTTGACACCATTAGTCATGTAGTTCCATTGTCTTGGTTGGTCATTGGGATACTTTGGTTTGGTTTATCAACACTCATCCAAAAAGTGCTCAATCAGAACTTTGTTACATGTTTACAGGCTGCTTCATGAAACCTTACATAGGGTCTTGTGTTGGTTACTTACTCCTTTACTCCAAAGAGGGATCAGAATATGTTTTCTCTATAAATTAATCCTTTAACTCCCGGAAGTGATAAACAAGTAACTTCTCACTGTAATATGTATATGTCCAGCAAACAGGTAATGAGAATACTCAAACTTGTCTGGTAGAAGTTGTTATCATAAACTAACACTAAATTCTTGTATTCAATTTACTGGGAAATATATGACAGCTAGAGGGGAGATTTAACAATTAGATATTGGGAGTTAAAAGGTTAAAAAACAATTTTCAACCAAAGTTTAAAAATAATTGTTGAGTGCATTGGTTTTGCTTTGCTTTGCTTTCCTCTTAGTCTTAAAAACTGGCACCTAGTCCTCTCAACCAATCTAGTGTATATTAGTCATGTTTGGTGTAAAGCTAAACCAATTATGACTCAACCACTTGCATTTTCTTGCAATCCAGGTAGATAACTTGGTTCTAATTTGAGTTTTCATTGGCTCCTTATGATAGCAGAGCTCACAGAGCGTAGCCCCATAACTATACAAAATAGTAGTAACCCAGCAAGCTGAAAAAATTTGGATGTACAACCGTACAACTGTACAACCGTACGGCCATACAAGGTGCTACTTTTAACATGCGTGGTCAAGTGTACCGCGGGCACGCCAATGCCATGGCTTTGTTCAGTAGTCCAGTGGTCAGTGCACTGGGCTCTGAGGTGGACGACCTGGGTTCTAGTCCTGGCAGGGGCAAGGTGTTGTCCCCTTGAGACGTGCAGGAAAAAAAAATGCGAGCTCCGCTTTTAGGCTTGGCTAAATTTATATATTATTTCCTTTTTTCTATTTGGCCATTGTAGGTTAAGGGTATGCTGGCTTTTACCCCTTAACTCCCAAAAGTGATTAACATGTAACTTCTCCCTACAATATCCATACATTATCCAGCAAACAGTTAATAAGAACACTCAAACTTATTAGGTAGAGGTTGTTATCTTGATCTTATGCCAAATTCTCTCAACTAATTTACAAGGAAATGTGTCGCAACTAAAGGGGAGAATTGACAATCAGATCTTGGAAGTTCAAAATTTTTACAGAGACATATACAGAGAACTACATGAAGTACTATTTTTCCTCAAATTTCTCAGGACAAGACAACAAATACATGTAGAGTTTTTGGATGGGAGAATTAGCTCTGAGATTTTCTAAGTCAAGGTTTGAAATATTCTTCACCATAACTTGTTGTTAAGAGAAATTATTTAAAGAAAATATCTACTAATGAGATAAACATTTGAATACAGTCTGAATCGTTTTTGTCTGTTCTTAAATAGGGCAAAAGGGAGGCCAGAGATAACCATAGTATCAGCAAGACCAATGGATTCCTCGGGAGTCATACCACCTCCTTCCCACACCAATCAGCCTGCATCAGCAACTCAGATTCCAACTATCCCCCTAAAGCCAGGTCGAAGACCTAAGGGTAGGGAGCCCCCACCCAGACCCAAGTCCCGCCCTGTGAGTGAACTTAACTTGGGAACAGATGAAAAGAACGAAGGGGCAATTTCTGGGGAGGGAGCCAGCGTTCACGAACCTGCTGAGAAGGGCGGGGAGAGGGAGAGGTCGAATGGAGTGGAGGTTCCGAAGAAGGGGCCTGTCTCAAGGATCTCAGCACCAGTTGCTCCGGTGCGGAAGATATCAAAAGACGAAGCTGAGGAGAGTGATATCGTAGGACAAAATTTAAATCCTTTCCTTAATGATAACTTAGAATCGAATGGAGAAGTAGAACCTGACACAATGAAAGATCTTCCTGTAGGAAAGAAGCCCGTTCCAAAGCCCACAGTCATCCGACCAAGACTGAAAGAAAAGGAAAAGAATAATTCAGACCCCATCGTGGAAGATGATGAGCAAAATGGCGTCTGCAGTGTAATAACGGTTCATGATGGAGCTACAGGAAAGAAAAGCAAACCTACAGTCATCGTCCCTGCTAAACCAGCCAAGAAAAAAGCAGATGACACAGAGGGTTTGAAGGGGAAGCAAGACAAAAAAGAGGAATTTGGTGAAAAACCAAAACCTGACAATAGTGACGGAAGGAAACCACCTCCTCCTGCTAAAAAACCAAAGCCGCCTGTTAAACCGAAACCTTACAGTTCTTCAGAAACGCCCAGTAAACCGTCGACGGAAGAAGCCCCAAAAGAGATTACCGCTGCCCCCAAACCTAAAAGTAGGCCCACGGTGATAGTTGCGGCCAGGCCTCCCAAGAAGAGTGAAGCAGTGAAGCCTGGTGAGGAATCTTCCGCAAATAAGGATCAAGAGGATAAACCTCCTCTGAAATCACCCAATACAAATGAGTCTACTCAGAGCATGCAGGAGGCAAAAACCAAAGAGACAGCGGTTGATTCACCAGCTGTGAAACCAAGGCGTGTTCCTACTGTTATTACAGCATCCCGCCCTGATTCACCAAGCTCTCATGCCGAGCGTAAACCTCCCAAAAGGCCAAAGAGAGGACCGAGTATCAAGGCAGCACCACGACGACCAATTAGTGCTCCAAGTGAGGAGAACCAAAATTTCGGTGCCCTTTCAACCGACAGTCAAGACGAGCTAAACACGCGAGTTTCCCAGCAGGACGCGGAAACACTGCAACAGAAATCACCAAAACCTAGAAGACCCGTGAGTTTGCCTGGAGTCAAAGGCAGAGAAGCGTTAACAACTGCAGAGAAGGCGAGTGATGCTAGTTCTCCACCAGAAGAGACGAGTAATCAGACAAGGAAGAATTCGAAGAAGAGACCTCCCCCGCCGAGACCACCTGCAGTGGATAATGCTGGTAAGCCTGTGGTACATTCTGAACCCCAAGATTCGAGCGACAAGTCCAAAGGGAGAGGAAAACCCCCTCCGCCCAGACCTCTCGCGGTGGGACATGCCGGTAACAAAATCGACTCGGCCGAATCAGCAATCACCGATGTGCATGACTCAAGCGAGAAGTCAAAAAGAAGCAAACCACCGCCCAGACCTCCCGCGGCGAGTCACGCCGGTGATGGACCGGCCTCGACTCCAGAGGAAGACAAGACCGTCATACAAGACTTTGATGATAAAAAGTCAAAAAAGAAAAACAGACCTCCGAGGCCGTCCTTCAAGGTGATTGACACTAAACAGTCACGTGGGGGTAAAGAGGAAGGTCACGCAGACGAGAAACGCAAACCAGCTAAACCTGTTCCTGTCGCTCCACTTGAAACCAATCTCACGAAAACGAATGTGACTGAGACACGAACGGTGGCCGAGTCGTCAGCTGACAATCACGTGAAAGACATGTCACAGGCGCGTAATTCTGAACGAAGAGGAGATGGATCTGCCACTGAAGACCACGAAGAAGAGAGAAATGAACAGGCGTCTTCGAAAACCAAAGCGAAACCAGCGAGACCTCCATCTTCTTCAGTCTCGACAAAGAGCAAACCACCTCGACCATCAACATCTGGCGAAAAGTAAGCAAAACCTAAGCCTTCGTTGTAGACTTGTTTGGTTTTTTGGTTGCATTCGCGAGTTAGAAACCGTTCGTCAGGCATTTGGCGGTAGAAATTGTATAAGTTAAGATGATTCATGGCTCAGTTTTGCTTTCTTGTTTGTGTTCATTACTAGACGTTTTACTCATTTTGTTTCCCATTTTTTTATGTGTGCGTGGACCCAGGGAAGAAGCTAAAGAAGAGCACTCTACGACCACAGTGTCATCTGTGAGTAAGACATACATTGAACCTTCCGCCATTGCTTTGTACGGCTATGAACCTACTGCAGCGGATGACCTATCATTTAATGTAAGTGAATGAATTTATAAATTAATCTATGTTTTAGTCCGTTGGGGTTATGTTTACGGCGGTTTGAGGATTGGAAACAGGTCACACAGTTGGAGACGTCTAACCAGCAAGATTTTCCAGCAGAATTAGCAACTCAGGAAACGTAAAAGTTGTTCTTTCTTTCAAAACTGTAGTGGATAGCGACATCGAAATAAACGTTTTTGAAATTTTGGGGCAAGTGTCCTATAAACCATTTCGATCACCGTCAGAAGATGTTCACTTCCAGATGACTGGAAGTTGTAGCCTTTGCAATTGTTTAAGTTGATAAATTTAACGTTAGTTAAGGTGTTGCATTTGATATCAAATAGTGGTTGATCTTCTCTCGTCAACAGGCAGGCGATGAAATTGTTCTTGTGCAAAAGATGGACGATGATTGGTACGTAGGCCGGCTTGGAGATAAACAAGGGATGTTTCCAGTGAAGTTTGTGGAAATAATTGAGGATCTCCCGCAAGAAACGGAATTACAAAGTCCGGTAAACGTGTACAGTTTACTTCTTTTAAAGTACATAATCAGAAATTCCTTCCGCGGAAGCTTAATATCGTAGTTAGTCTCCTATATTCTCATTGGAATGGTTTGGATGCCAGCGTAGAGCAGTCGGGAGGGCTATTCAAGATAAGAATTTAACATTCTCACTGTATTTCTCTCCACTTTTCGCTTTGCATCTCTTTCTTTTTTAATCCAGAGTGAGACTGTAGTTATTAGGCTTTCGGTCAGTAGAGGAGGTCGAAATTGAGCGACAAAAAAGAAAAAATGAAAAAACAACTTGGCCGTTGGTCTTGGAGAGAGAAAAAGGTGGTCTTTGCTTTTTTTCTTTCTCTGGATCATACGTCGCGGTGTTTGGCTGCTAGGCCCACGGGCACGGTGTCCAAGCCATTTAAGCGTTATTTGTATAGACCGCTGAAATGCTAAACATGTTTTATTTTTTGTGCAGCCAGCTACACCGCCAGAGAGCTCCCCATTCAACGTGATGTCATTGTATGATTTTCATGGAAACCTGGAGGATGGCGAAATAGACTTCACTGCGGGTGAAATTATTCACGTGGTCGCCAAGATCAACGACGATTGGTTAAGGGGCGAACTCCGTGAGCAGTCCGGGGCCTTTCCATGTAACTTCGTTGATATAAGTACAGATGTAATCAAGAAGTTGCCTCAGTATGAGGAAAAGGAGACCATATCCAAAGGTAATGAAGGAGAATCTTCGGACCCGAGTTCAAATTTGTTCTGCGAGGCGTTGTATGATTATCATAGCGACGTCTCGCAAGATCTAAGCTTCAATGCCGGAGATGTCATCAGAATTAACAAGAGAGTAGGCAAGGATTGGATTGAAGGCGAACTTCAAGGAAAAATGGGTATGTTTCCGGCAGCCTATGTAGAAATTCTTCACGACGTGCCAGAACAAAAGAAGCAACCAGGTAAGCAATAAGCTTTCATCTTCGACGTCTCACTTCCTACGGTGAATTAAGCTGAAGAAAGCTCTTTTTGGAGGAGTTTTCCGTCATTGTGTAAGAATTTTGAGAAGCGTATGAAAAGCGCTGGATAGTTGAGTGGACCAACGTTCGATCAAAGTAGTATTGCTTTCACCTGGTAGAGGCAGTTAGCGTGCGAACGAAGAGAAATTGCCGGCTGGCTATATAAAGGCGGTTTTAGAAAATCGATTATTAGCTGCAAACCTGCTTCACTCTGCATGCAAATATAAACGTTCAGATAGAACGACAAGTGATAATGAAGATGGCGCTAAGGCCAAGCAAAGGACCAGTTGCGGCTTTTTAAGCAATTCACAGTTTTCTTGAAAAGACAAAACAAAACGAAAAAGGTGACATGGTATATTGTTAAATGGAAATAATTAAAAAATAGTAGCAAAATGAGTCATTTAGAGAAAAGCGCTTTTACCATGTGGAAATCACCTCAATTTTGCTGGAACTCAGTGTACAATTGAATAAGACCAATGGTTGCCAAGGTTGTCACTAGCAAACTTGTCTATTTATATTCAGAGGAGAAAGAGCATCACAATGTTGAATATGGTATAGCACTGTATGATTTCACCGACTCAGCAGCCGACGAACTGACGTTCCATAAAGGAGACAAAATAGAAATCACCGAAAGAATTAACGATGAATGGCTGAGAGGAAAACACAAAGGACAGGAAGGAATGTTTCCGCGGGCTTTTGTGCAACTTTCAAAAGAGGAATCAGGTAACGGATTGAATTAAAAGCTTACCTTTCTAATAAATAGACAGCTATGTAGGTTAACCCATCGGCCTAGGTTATTACCCCGCCGACGGATGATGTCGGAAAAGAAAGCATTATTACAAGAATGATTTACAGAGCTATTGAAGATTCCATAGCGTTTGGAGTATTACTGCTCCCCAGTGGATGGGATGTTTGTTAATCGTATGTTTCCCCACGAAGTTTTGACGGTTGACCGTTACCATTTTTTCCTTAAGTGACGGGAGATATTTTTTATTTTTTCGCAAAGCATCTTGCCTTAGAACACGACACCATTACGTAATCGGCCAATGCCGGAGCCTGAATCTAGCAACCATTGTACCAAAGCGTTACCCATAGCGAAGGACGAGTTACTTTCGTGTCAGGGATGTTACATCTAGGTCCAACGTAAATTCTTTGAGTACTAGCACGTATCTCCCTCTCTTTATTTAGCTAAGCCCCCTTTTCTGCCTACCCCAGTGAAGTCAACTTTCACTCGTAAAGAAAGGAGACAAGGCTTACAAGGACTCGAAAAGTAAATTTTAATCGCATCGTGCAAAATGCTTGGACATTATTAGTTATTCATGAGCACTGAAGCGGGTAAATTTGAATGCGATCGCGCCTTGAAAAGCCCAGATTAAGAGAAGAAAGGACCGAAACTAGCGTAGCAGCGTTGATAATTGCTTACCAAGGGAAAACTCACGAGGCTTCTGTGTGCCTCTTCTCTGCTTGAACATCTCCGAGTGAAATGTTGTAAGGAGGAGGGGCAGAGCGATGTTGAATAAGCTAGCTTTAATAACTAAGTACCTGCACCATCACACGACTTTACGTTTAACGGCCAAAAAATATTTACTTGTATCTTTTTTTCCTTTCATGCAGAGACAGAATTTCCACCTGTCGAAAGAGAAATGCAACCAACGCCAAAAGCCAAGGCGCTGTTTGATTTTAATGGCGAGTTTGGAGATGAGCTGTGTTTTAAAGTAAGATTCTTGTTAATCAGTTCTTCTCACTTCCACATTTAACTACTTGCTTCAAGCATTTTATGGACATCTTTCTATTTCTATGTTTCCAACGCACTCTCGATTAATTTCGTATGGCGTCTGTTTTTCCTACAGACTGGTGACGTAATTGTACTCCTGGAGCGCGTAAATGACGAGTGGCTTCAAGGGGAACTGGAAAAGAAAGTCGGTCGATTTCCAGCAGCATTTGTTGAAATCCTGACACCACTACCTTAAGATTTCTCTCTGGTGGAATCTACCTAATGCAGAAAAAAGACAAAAACAAAAGAGGAAAAACAATGGAATAAAACCGCAAAAACAGTTGTCTCTATTTGATATTTTAGGAGGGGGAGAAAGAAACCATTTTCAGACATAAATGTGGTGGCCGTGCACATTTCGCGAGGCTGGAAAATTTAACTTGAGCGAGTGAACCTGGTATTTGTTCTTTGCTTTTGATGTTAAGAGAATTCATACTGGACTGGCTGACAACTCACCTCGATTTTATGTGACAAAGTGAAGTTCCGAGGGCACACTCGCTCCGGTGTGTTTGGCAT